TGGCGGAATGGCACTGCGGTGCACCTAGAGCACATGAGCTACCATTCATTAGAGCACAACCATCCTAAATCCATCTTCCCCGCTGGGAAGCGCCCTCAGTGGCGGAAAGGCACTGCGGTGCACTCAGAGCACATGAGCTGCCATTCATTAGAACACAACCAACCTAAATCACCCTTCCCCGCTGGGAAGCACCCTCGATGGTGGAATGGCACTGCGGTGCACTCAGAGCACATGAGCTACTATTCATTAGGACGCGAAAACGACGCGAATCCATCACAAAGCAAACTATAACTATCCAGCGAATCCTGCGGACTACGTCCGCGTTGGCTCCTTCCCCGACCCCACTCAGAGGGGCGGAAGACCAATAACTCCAGGCATTAGCTTCTAGGGATCTGCCAGCCCATATACATAAACGGTCGGGGGGAAACTCCCGCCAGTCACTCCACGAAAAAGTTCTACCAGGGTAGATGTGTCTTCAACTCACGACCTACAACTCCCGCAGTGCCGCCCGCACGCTGCGCATACACAGCACCCGCAACATCACGTACACCCAGGTGGTAATCGCGCTATCCTCATGAAAAACGTCCCCACATTCATCGTGCCAAGTTAATATTAGATGGTGAATCTGCATCTGCTAGACAAAAAATCCAGAAGCTTTACGAACTCCGCATCAGAATCTGGTCACGCCGCGTCCTCGGGTGTCGAAGTCGCATCACAAATCGATCATCGTGCCTCGATTTTTCGACTAGCTGCATGACAAATTGCAATTCGAGAACAAAATAGAGACAATAAAAACACTTCTCAATATCCGGCTGCGAATGATGTTGAGAAACTACACTCCAGGGATGCAGTGGATCCGATCTAGATGATTATTTGGATGACAAATCAATATGTTGAGATGGGGACAACGTTTTTCCCCATTCGATACGCGTGTTCGTTGGCGTATCCGTTGTTATCCTGGTACGACAGATCGCAAAACCGTTGTAGGGCCTGGGCCGCGACGGGCGGAAAGGAGCTGTGGGCCGCTTCCAAGACCTGCGACACATGATACACGTCTATCTGTTCGACTTTGGGCACCGTCAAAGCGGTGTGCTGCTCCTTCGGAACTGCTGCCGAGGCGGTTGCCCCTGCTCCACCTCCAATCGATAAGGCGGACGCAAGCCCAAGTGGACGAGGGCCACTACCCGCCGCCGCTCCAGCGGAAACCGCTTTCGCCTTCGACAAAAACTTGCTTTTCGCGCTGCCGGGAGCCGCAGATGGTGCTGACAACGGTTGTGCCGCCGCCGCGGCTTGATGTTCGGCACTAGATGTAGGACCCTCACGCCCCGTAGTGGAGCCGACATTTTTGCTTGAAGGAGTCCGCGGCTTCGTTTTTCGCAACCCCTCGACAAAGACTTTGACCACCTGTTCGTAGTCGTCCAACAGGCAAAAATTGACCAGCTCCGCCGCGTGCGGGTTTTGTAGGAGAGCAGCCTCCTCGTCAGGAGCACTTTGCTGCAGCAGGGTAAATTGGAAGTTCATGTAGCGCAATTGCAGGTGCAATTTCTCCATAGCCAGGTCGCGGCTGGACACGCAGATCACGCGCATCAGGGACAAAATGTATCAAATCCAAAAGCATCGCACTCGTAAACTTCTAATCGCAATCCTGCATCATAACAAAAACCTGAAGATTCCCTAGTACCTGAATCTGCATGAGAGATTGGATTCCAACTCTCTTCTTGGAAAATTTTTTTGTCAGGCGATTTACACTACTAGTGCGATACTTTTGTCAAAATGCATAAAATGTCGATCACACCCAACTCGTAGCCGAAGGCGGGGCACCACGCGAACCCCCGATTGATCAGGGCCCGGTAGACGTGCATGTTCTGGGTAAAGTCGAGCGGGCAGTTGTCGCACCGAGTTAGCAGCGTGTGAATTTGGTCACGGCGGATCAATAGATTCTTCGGGACCGGGTTTTCTTGCTTGGAAAGCAGGGCCACCGCAGACAACTTCACCGCAGTCTCTGCCGGATACAGCATCTCTTTCTCCTGTTTCTGCAACACGCCCACCGTGCGCAACGCGTTGTACAGGTTTTTGATGAAGTATCCAAGAAAAAAACTGTGTTAGTGTAACTTTCTTGAAAACATAGCGTGACAAGTTTGCTCTGCATGACACAGAAAACCTGTGATGCGTAGCTAGTACGTGAAAACACGCACGAAAAGAGCCTCTGAAGCATGTCCAGCATGACAAGTGTAGGTGTCTTGCATCCTCTGCAACACAAATTTACACTTACACAGTTTTTTCCTTGGATATGAAGGGCACGAAACTCTGGTTTGCCTCCCGCCCAAACATTTCTTTCTCCTCGTCCGCGCTGAAGAGCTCCCACGTATCAAAGTGAAAAATCCCCCCTCCCCATATCAAAACTGATGCGGATTGGTAGCAACAAATCAGCTTTGTCATGCTAGAAGGCAAAAGATGCGGGCAGTGGTGCTGGCTGGCATAGGAAAGCCCTGCGTCTTCAGCATGACAGGAAGCAACTGGAAACGGGACACAGCATGACACATTTTTGCCTGCACACGAGGGAGCCATTGCGTGTCTTGGCCTTCTAGCAAAAATACAAGTTGGTTTGTGTACTCAACTACAGCAGCACAAATTTCGCTTTCGATATATGGGGAGGGGGAATTTTTCCTCACAATACCAGGCTTCCACCAAGTTCCGGGCCATCCAGGCCTCCACCTCCGCGATATGGGGCACGTTGTCGTGCAGCGGGAGGTCCTTGGTTTTCTTGAAAATCCGCTTTTTCTCGCCCTTGGGTAAATCTTCGTAGGATTTCATCTGCTTCAGCATCGCCCCCGGGTCCGCGGTGAACGACCGGTTCAGAGCGATGGGGTGAAAGTAGAAACGCGTTGTGAGCCAGTACTGCTGTATCCACTCCAGAAACGCCATGCGGGGCTGGACCACCATAATCCACTCGTACTCCGTGGTGTCGTTAATCGGTTCCGGCTCCGGCGGCAGCTCCACTTCCACCTCCTCTTCCACACCGGTTGCCTCGTATGACAGTGCACAACCCCCCCTCCCCCTCATTTGTATAGCATGAACGGGAATACAAGCATCAGCAAGAATGCCGGTTTTGCATGACAGATTTGCACTGGAGTATAGTGCTATTTGGGCTACCAGAACTTATCATGCACACAGTGCCAAGAGGCAAAGGTAGGGTGGATTGTGTATTTTGCATGACAAATGACGGGGAGGGGGAGTTGTGCACTGTCCTACCTGGTTCACCTGCTTCACAAGAACAGTCTGCTTCGCAGCGCCGCCGCGCTTCCGCTGCGGCTTCTGGAGCAAAACCCAGTGCTTCAAGTCGTTCACGTCGCGAAACCCCTGGGCGGCTTCCACATTGTGCCACTCCCGCCGCAGTTTGCTGATCATCAGGTCCAGCAAGGGCCCAATCACGGCGTGCTTCGTGTATGGAGTGCAAATATCCCTGGATGTCTGGAAGGCTGCAACTTGTGATGGATG